GGGAGAGGGGGGGAGGTCACTGAATCACCATAATAGTGGAGCAGCGGAATTGGGAGCTAAGCACACTTGTACCTACAGTCGCGTTCTGTTTGGCCATGAGACCTGACAGTTGTTTCGCTTTGACAGTGCTATTGTCTCTTTGAGGCCTGGTTCCTGTGTGTTGTTATTTCTCTGTGTACTCATAGAATTAACTCCCTAGTAACTGAGGTAATCTGTAGGCATCTCTGTCTTTGTAACCTGTCTTTTTCAGGATTTTTTGCAAGTCACAGAAACACTCAAGGCAACAAGCAAAAAATTATATATTTATCATTATAATGATGGGGATAGCACCTGAAATTCCAGGATGGGAATGTAGATGGGTCTCATGAGGAGCTGCAGGACCCAGGAAGCCGAACCAGTTCTCAGGACCCAGACAGGCAGCTTCTCTCTGAATATTTTCCTCTTTCTCTCTTTGATCTCTGTTAGGGGTGATATGCGCTATACTCCTGACCTAATAGGCCATGGCCTTCTTGGCGGATAAAAGTACATTAACTTGTAAAAGCAGACACTCCTTGACCAGAGAAGTCTCCTGCCTGGCTTAGGAACTCTGGAAAATTACTGAACTATACCGAAATAGATTTTTTTTTTTTTTAATGGCCTTTTCAAGCTCACTCTGTTCAGGAATTTTCCTGTCCCCACTTCCTGTAATCTCAACACTTAGTGGAAACAAAAGTAACTCCTTTTGACAAAAAGATTGATGGATCCCTGACCTAAGATGGTTGAAACTGCAGACATTCTTTAAACCCAAATTTGCTACTTTCAGTGGGTACGCCAGTGTTAAAATGTTTCCTAACACTTACAACTTCAATGACAAAGACTTGCCCATTGCACATTTTGGTTATATCTCAGTCTGTGACTTTGTTTTCCTGCTTTGTAGCATCTTATTATGGTCCTTTATTCTTAAAGTCTTGGGTCAGGGTGGACCCTGAGCAAAATTAGGAAGTGTACAGAGTTTGTTTTTCAGGTACCAGCCTTTTCCCCACAATAGGCAGTGTGAAAGAAATTGCAGATATTGGGCCCTATTTATAAGGTTAGCTCCAATTAGGATCATCTGTTAAAAAAAGAGAGAGAGAGACCACCCCCTCCAAAAAAAAAAAAATCACAACAAAGCCATGGATTTTAATCCTAATTCCCCAACTCTGGATTGGGGGGGAGGGTGATGCCCTATAAAACCATTTAGGGAATTATTTTATGTCAGATCCCCAAGTCACCTAGGGATTACTAAGAGTGAGGAAAATGAAAGTTCTTTGAGTTCTAGTTTTATCAACGGCTAAACAGCTTTCTTGGCTTTTGTTATCTGGTACTTTTATCAGTTATTTCTAAAATGCTATGCTTAGGAGAGTAAAGATGTAGTTTTTACTTAGAGTGAGGAAATAGTAAAATCTCTGGGAGATTTGTGACTTGAAAATAACTTAGGGGCGCCTAGGTGGCTGGCTCTTGATTTCGGCTCAGGTCATGATCTTGGGGTCCTCGGATCGAGCCCTGTGTCAGGCTCCGTGCTCAGCGGGGAGTCTGCTTGAGATTCTCTCCCTCTCCCTCTGGCCCTCCCCTCCCTTGCCCCCCCCCCCCACTAGCATGGACACTCACTCTCTCTCTCTAAATTTTTTTAAAAAACGAAAAGAACTTAAATTTTATTATTAAAATGGGTTCTCAGTTATATTCTGTCACAACTATTGTTTTTAGAATATAAGGTTACAGAAAGTCATTTAAAGCTTTATTTCATATTTATTTGTTTCCCACCACTTATTACAATGTCCAACCTAATACTAATGGAATATTGGCACCCCCACTTTCGGTAAAACAGTTTTACAGAAATGTAAAGTTTAGTGTTAATATATATTCCTTTTGAGCCACATCATTAGCAAAAGTTCACAACTACACAAGCCATTTAAGGAAAGCTCAAAACTACCAAAAGCACGCTCCAAAATCACATTTTTGGAAATACGAATTTAACTATAGTGCCAAACATATACTTTAATTTGCCCCAAGAAAACATTTTCTAAAACAACAAATCTAAATTTGACGCATCTATTGACAACAGTTGGTTTGAAATCACAATTATTAAGCTTACAGCGTTAGCAAGTAGGAGCAGAGGATACAAAATCAGAACCTTCCATCTGATTTCCAAGGGCAGAGATTAATTAGGTCACACTCTTACAGGACTTAGGCACCCACCGGGTTTAAAGAAGTCAAGCAGGAGGATGATTTGGTAACAACTGCACACCCAGAGGTTAGGGATCTCATGTGGTATTTCTCCATTTTTTAGAAAGAGGGCACTGCTTACCAGAAAGAAATGGATTTCCTTGAAGGAAGAATTTCAGACACTGGCAGGTTCACAGATTTTTCAACAGGGGTCCTTCTCTGGGGCTTTCAAAATGACAATAAACGTGGCCACTTAGTCTGCCTGTGAGCAAGGCGAGTTCTTCACAATATTTGTGAAAGGTAACTTTACTCAGTTATCAATCAATAGTAGTCATAAGTAGAACTACATTAAGTCAGTAAGGGTTGACCCAGTAAGGCAAACACCCTGCCCCAGATCCTTACTCAGTACTTTATACTTGCTGACCCCAAAACATTTTCATTGTAATTGCAGAGCTTTACAATGGAAAAGAGATTAATGAAAAAGAGCAGTCAAAAAAAACCCCGCAAAGGTTTATTTTTTAGGACTTAGTTTCTTAAGAAACCTGCAGAAGAGATGTTTTATCTCTTCTTGATCCCCTTTTCATATGCAAAGTATAATCTCTAGATTTACACCACATAAGAAACACAAACACAGTTTTATGCAAATCGCAGGAGTATAGAAGAAATTAGAAGCAAAGATGTGATGGGAACAAATTAGATTTTCCAGTGTCATCTTGTTTATTTCACCTTCTCTCCTAGTCAACCTCCCGTAGGACCCACTGACATACAGACGTGTCTTTCTACACCTAGTGGGGCTTCATTTTATTTAGAAAGCCCGATAACGTTAATGTTTGTACGTTGACAAAAAATCATGGTTTGTCTTTTACTTTATAAGGATCTTTCACTCCTCTAAGATTTCAGCACAATTCACAAACAACAAAAATCCTGACACCATACACCCACGCACAGCTCAGAGTCGGATACACATGCTGGGAGGAAAAATACGATTTTTAATTGAAAAGCTAGACTCTGTCATCTTCCTTCTTCGCATTGCACCCAGTGAACAAGGTCACACTGATTTCAGACACCTGCGAGCTTCCAGCGCCTGGGACCCTTCCCATCACGGCCAGGTTGTTAAGGGGGGTATCGGCGGGAGGAGGATCAGGCAGCTCTGCCTTGCAACAGAATAACTGAGCTTTAAAATGCTGCTGGAAGGTTTTGCTCAGCCAGTAAAGAGCAAAGGGGTTTACACAAGAATTGCTGAAAGCCAGAACCCGAGAGAAAATGGTGACAATAAAATGAATGGCAGAGGGGTCCACGTAGGTTTGATAGGTGAATGAGTGGTAGAGGTACAAGAGGTGATTCGGCAACCAGCAGAGAGCAAACAGAGCCACCAGCACCAGCACGGTTTTGGCAATCCTCTTCCGGGATTCGATCTAGAGCGGGGAGGGGGAAGAAAAATGGCCACAAAAACAATCATTTAGCTGGCAGAGATTTTTAAAAGCCATTCTCTAGATTTACATAGAAATTTACAGTGAACAGGCTGGAGTCCCTTTGAGCATGCGTCTGAAAGAACTGCTTGGGAGGTGTGGGAAGGCATGGTAATTGGCATGGTAACCCACGATCTTGGTCTCATTAGCTCTAATGCACAGACTCCCAGCCCTGGTTTTGAGAGACTCTAGGATGCCTCCAATTATCTCAAGGAGTGTTGTGGAATTCTTGAAATATTAATTTAATTAGAAATAGAGAGATGCTGGGCGCCTGGGTGGCTCAGTTGGTTAAGCGACTGCCTTCGGCTCGGGTCACGATCCCGGAGTCCCGGGATCGAGTCCCGCATCGGGCTCCCTGCTCGGCAGGGAGTCTGCTTCATCCTCTGACCCTATCCCCTCTCAGGTGTTCTCTCTCTCTC